AAGGGGGGGGGTGGATAGTGACAAATAGTTACAAATCCCAGCCAGGACATGGACCAGTCACTTCAGATCCAAAATGAATAGACTGTGAATAGCAGGAGAATGCATCCCCCACTTTGTTCTGAATATACACATGTACGTATGAGGCACATTGACTTTATGATATAGCATGTCATAAAGCATGTCACTACCCTTACATCATAGATTTAAGCCATAGAACAGCAGAGGAGTGACCAGCATTCAGCGGCTTGGCTCCTCCCCTAGACAAGGCACATGCGTTTTTAGCTGTGTGTAGGACAATTGCACCATGGAGGTGGGACTATTACCCAGTTATTGTCCTACCTGGAGAGCATGAGTATTTAAGGACCTATACACAGGTGCCACATGTACTGGGAAGTTGAGAGGTCATCAATGTGTCAACTTGATGAGCTATGGGAGGTGCCCAGAGATGTGGTCACACATCAGTCTGGTGAATCTGGGAGCAAGCCCACCACCCCTTCCCTGAGATTCCATTCCCAAGAGCTGACTTGCTGCAGCTGCCCATAGTTGGCATCACCAAAGGCCCACCTGGCCCAGATCCCCAGACTCTGCCAAACAACTGCCACTGCTCAGGTGAAGATGGTGATGACACAGCAGTCATTGTCTCCCATCAGCCATGGTGGTCTAGATGGAGCAGCAGAAACACCAAGTTCACAAACCAGTCTTGGGACTTGGCAGAGATGCCGGTACCCCCAGTGAGGCCAGAAGGCTCAAGGGGAGCCTGAGGTGGGGAGTTGAGCCTCAGGAAAGGATGCTGGCAGGGAGGCTCTGGCTTTTCAAGGCAGCTGAGAGGTGGTGGGATCCCTAAAGTGAGCAAGATGCTGGGAAAAATGGAGTGAGAGGGAAACAGCAGGTCCCAGGGTGGCAAGAAGGAGGAGGCAGCATCAGGGAAACCACAGACCAGCCTTAAGGAAGGAAGAATTCTGAGGAGCAGAGAGGAGTCTGCCATCAGGCTCAGCCAGGCAAACAGAAGTGATAAGAGGCAGAAGATGGCAAGAAGGACCAAGGTGAGGCAGGACCTCTAGAAGCGGAATCTAAGCAGCATTTCTGCCTGCACTTAAGAGAGAAGAAATCCCAGGCCTGTTTATATGCCAAAGGGAAGAGGCAAATCAAGAAGAGGTTACAGACCCTCAGGAGGAAGGGGACTGACTTGGAGGCGGGACGGACACCTAGCCTGGCCCAGGCAGAAGAGGAGATCTGGGTGCCACTGCAAGTGGAGCCTGGACAGTGGGTAAGGGACTCCACAGACATAAACACCACCTGGATACCCGCGGCCACGAGTGACAGAGAGCAGAAGGAAGGGGAAGGACAAAGGGATTCAGAAACGAAGTCTACGAGGGTATATTTCAACACAGGCCCACAGGGATCACATTTCCATTTGGCATGTTTATTCCAGATCTGTTTCTTATGTACAGGGGTGGAACAGTGTATCCAATGCACTTGTTAACATCAGCAGCGGGAGCGTGTGATTGCATAACAGTCTAACTCTCCTTGAAAACTGACGTTCAGCATGCATCCTGGTATACACAGTGAATCATTCTCGAATGCCAGTTAACTGGCCTCCTTGAAATCACTCGACAAAACCCTTGCCTCTTGTTTTGATTTTGCATTTTCTAGGCAATATTTCCCCGTGCTCTTTAAAAGTAGAAGCATGAGGTGTTAAGGGCTGAAATACAAGTATTTATACACAATGTGATAAGAAGTGTTTCATGATACATAAATTAATACAGCACATGTGTAGAAAACAAATAAAATTACAGTGAATAAATAAACTAGCAGCTTCATATATCAAGTCATACATGGCATATAAAAAGTAGTCCCTGCATATATACATATACGAATATATAAATGTATGTGTGCTCCAGAGTATAAATACGCTATATACTTAAATATTGTGTGTGTGTGTTTTCAGTTTTGTAAGTTAAAATACTGGTGGCAGTTGGGGTCCCCTCTGATCTCCGGAGACCCTGGGATCCTCTTCCCACTCCAAGGATAGACGCACCAACAGAGGCCTGCCTCTCCGTCCAGGGATGTCTCACACTGAAAAGACAGGACCAAGGTCAGTCACAGCAGCTGAGAGGCTGACAGGGAGGGGACCCAGTCTGAGCTGAGCCACCAACTATCCATGACACGGGAAACACCACCGCTCCTGGTTGTCATCATACAATGCAGACAGTGGCAAGGGACACACACAACACGACGTACACATGTGATGAAAGGAATTCTGCTCTGCATAGCTGTCTGCCTCCTGTCCTCACCATCCAAGGAGTTCAGCTCAGTGGAAACATGTTTGTGTAATTCACTGTTCCTCATCTACGCCGTCCCTAGGCTTCAGTTTCCCCTCCTGTTAACTCACAGAATCTGTGCCTTACTGAGATCTTAGACTCCTCAGAATTAAATCTGGTTTGTTTGGTTGGTCTCATTTATTTGGGGGCAAGTCACAAAAATGCTATTGTGTTTTATTGCACTTTGTTACCTTTGGGAGCAAGAAAAAGAAAAGAAAAGAAAGAAGAGAAGAAGAGAAGAGAAGAGAAGAGAAGAGAAGAGAAGAGAAGAGAAGAGAAGAGAAGAGAAGAGAAAAGAGATGTCCAGATGTCCAGACACTTGCTTTTCTAAGCAAGATAGGAAAGCTCCTAAGTTGAACTTGCTCCCTCTCTTATGGCAGGTAAAAAAAAGGAGACCCCATGCACTGGAAGCTTCTGTAAGCGCTCTGCCTCCCTTGGCTTCCTACGTGATGGAGGGAGCCCTGGCCTATGTGGGTTTCCCTCCACTGGCCGTGAAATCCTGAGCAGCTTGGCCACCCTGGACTAACTGCTCCTGGCACCCCATGGGTAGATCTTGCTTGATTCAGCCAGTTGTGGCACACATTTGGGACTGGGTTTTTGTTGCCAAAGGGGCAGCAGTTGTTCCCCTAAAAACATATACCAACGTGGCCCCCTACCTGTTTGCTGTGATAAAATCCATTCTTGTTGCAGTTTGGCAGATAAAACTTGTAGATGTCCTCTCCAGCCTTCTGCTGTGCGGTGGCAAGCCTCTCCAGCACTCTGTAGAGTTCCCGTTGGCAGGGCTCCTGGAAGACAACTTGATCTTAGGGCACAGGACAAGGGACCGTGGAAGCCCAGCCCAGACGGCAGCTGAGGGACAAGCATGTGTGTGGGCTGGGAGGACAGGAACAGGATGGCCCCCAAACTGGTGTGGGATCCTGGCCCTGGGAGCACGTGGGCCTGATTTTTCCATCTCTGATGGCAAGGGTGAGTCTCTGCCTTGAGTTGTTGCAAAAAGGACAAGGAACACCATTCTCTCGACTCACTGAACTTTTTCTAACCCCTAGGCAGGTACAGCCCCAGGCCAGAGCCTCACAGAGGCCACAACACTCCAACTCCGCCTGCTACCTACGGAGTAAAACTGGCAGCAGCCTGCTGGCTGGACGGAGAATGGGTACAGTTCTCCAAAGGCAGAATTGAGAGGCAGAGATTTCTTGATTTTATGCAACTCTCCTCCACAATCTATAAGGTTATCTCACATAAGCCAGAAGGAGTGCCGATTAGGCATTACTGTGGAAACCTGAGATGAGAACCATTTGTCAGCATTTACAGATGAAATTCTGACATGTCCAGAGACAGTTTGACCCTCCCTTTTCTGGCTGCAGGTTAGGAACTGACTTTTTAATCAAAGCAACTCAAATTGATCCAACTTTTATTCTCTGTCGCCCTCTAGTGGCAGAAATAAAGCCAGCCGTTCATAAAGACGGGATGAGAAGTTCATGTCAGAGTTGCATTTGGGAAAATGAAAAGGTGCTGGGGATAGATGATGGTGATGGCTACAAAACAATGTGAATGCCCTTAATGCCACAGGAACCTACCTTTACAAGTGGTTAAAATGGTGAACGTTACGCTATGGATATTTTACCACAGCTTTTTAAAGGGGACAGAAGAGAGGATGCTGACAGTAGTCAGGCCCCGTGCTAAGCTTTAGAATAGCGTGACTTGGTGAGATTGGGAAGGAGCTCAGAGACATGAAGTAACCATCTAAAGGCACACAGCAAAAACCGTGTCCAGAAAGTCCTACGTGAACAGCTTGACAAAGCTAAGCTGAGGAATGCCCACTAGGCTTGGGGAGGACGAATGGTTCTTTCCAGGGTGCCAGCACCAGAAAGGAGGGTGTGCGGCCTCCCCGTGAGGCTGGAGTCTTGGACAGGGCGTGTCCCCATTCCTGCAGGGCCTCACCTTCCACTTCTTGGTATCGGAGACCTGGCGAGCCCGCATGCTCTCGTAGGTGCTGATGGCATTCCAGAGGATGGGACGGTCCTCACCAGAGGGAGCCATGAGGTGGAAATTCTCCAGGAGCTGCTCCTCCGTCATCTCTGCACTCTCCGGGGGCACATTCTCCGTGGTGGCAGGGACCTTCGCCTCTGAGAAGGGAACACCACAGACCCGTGAACCCATGGGAAACAGCTGCACTTGACCCCCTGAGATCACTTCCTTTCCTCAAAGCCAGGCCCCAGCATAAGGATGGTTGCATTAACTTGGATTTTCTGCTGAGTTCCCTATTTCTGGGGAAATGATGACCCCATAGCAGAACTAATTCTGCTTTGAGAAGACAGGAGGCATCAGGGTCTGGCAAGGGAGCCCCGTATTTTTGCTTCTGAAGTGCCAGGGAACGAGAGCAACTGCTGAGGCTGGAGACAACCATGAAGAGGCCACACATGAGGGTCAACCCCTGATCCCACTGGTGGGGAGCAGTAGAACCTCAGTTTCCCACCTGTTCCCTTGGGATTTAGAAATAACCTGTGAGCAAGCAGCAGAGTTCCTTCAGAAGTGAGGTTTAAAAGCACGCTCTCCTGTTTTCCAGGGGCCCTGCCTTCCCACAAACTAAGTGACTTCTCTGCAACCCCGGGAGAGACAAAGCAGTCACCAGGCATCATGCATACTGCCCAGGGCAGCATGGACGGAATCGCAGAGAACTGGCTCTCAGGGAGCTCTGTGGTAATCCATCCCTTTAAGGAGCACAGAGTCGACTCCCTGCATTTACTCCGAAGCGCAGAGAATCCGCAGGAAGATGGTGTTCCCGTCTTGGGAGGGCCACGTGCTCCCACACAGATTCCTATCAGCCTGTGGAGCCAGGAGATTCCTCCAAGAATCACACAGGACGTGCAGCCAGCCCAGATAGGGAGATAGGAGCTGGAGTAGAGGAAGAGGCATTTCCTCTGCGTCCCACTACAAACAAATGGCTGCCTAAATCCAGGAAAGAACCTGATTGTCAAGTTCCTAAGGGACAACCTACACATCAAACATTGTTTGTCTATGGCCATGAATGGAAGTGAGGTTTTCAGCCTAAACTCTCACATTATGTTCTGTAAACATCTGGGTAGCACATACTGTATCCACAGGACATATATTACAAAGGACATTCCAAACACCTCCTGGGAGGCCAGCAGGAGGGATTCCCTTCTTAGGCCTTCCAGGAAGTCCCAGCTATTGAGCAGGGGAAGGGCTGGAGGACAGTGGGTGGCACCTCCACTGCTGATGGGGCAGCCCACAACTCCTGCCCCCCACTGCACTCTCACTGTTCCAGTCTCTGGAGGGCGCCCGACTTGGGTTTGCTCCCTAAGTCTCCACTAATGTGTGTAACCTCGGGTCTTGCCTTCCGCTGGAGTGCAGTCTGCCAGGACGCTGACCCTCAAGCACCCCAAACGCTGTGGGCTTTGCGCAAGCCCCTGCCAAGCTGCAGGCTTGCTCATCTGTCCCAGGGGAGGGGACCCGCGGGATGGGTGCTGTCCTACCTGCAGCCTCAGCGCTGGGCGCTACCCCAGCAGGTGTGTCGGGCTCTGGTACGCAGGCGCCCTGGCCACGGGTGAGTGCATGCAGGGGGCGCGGCTCCCCTGGCAGCGCGCGGCAGCTGAGTCCTCGAGCGCAACGCGCAGTGGCCACGCCACACGCTGAGCCCAGAGGCAGGGCGCACGTCGGGCAGCAGCCGCAGCCCGCCGGGGGGGCGGCCTCTC